GGCACCCCGGGACCCACGAGGACTCGGTGGGACTCTGAAGGTGGCGCAGGCCGGGTGTGTTTGTGATGGCAGGTGGTGGGGAGGGAGGACGGGAGCGGCGAGGAGGCGGCCTCCATGCATGGCAGCACCCAGCTCGTCTTCTCTCAGCCGAAGCCACGCGCAAGTCTGTGCCGCGGTCGCCTTCCCTGTCGTGTGTCCTTACCCGTACTGTGATGTGAAGTGTCACGTGTAGGTCCCGTATTTAACGCCTCGATTGCCTCTGAGCGTGGTTCCCTCGTGGCCTGTGATCCTCCCGAGCCGGTTCTCTTGTGGTATTTATGCCCAACCCGCCCGTGTCCGAGGAATGCATGCGCGCCCGCTGCGGGGAGGCCCCCCCAGGAATGCAGGGTCTGTGTCAGGGGTGTCCTGTGGCCGGCCCGGCGTTTCCTGTATTAAAATGATCAAATAAACAGAATCCTCCGAGTCGTGTGTTGGCCCCTGAGAGCCCCAGCCCGCTGCCCTCCCGCTCGTGCCCTCGGGAGGGTGAGCCCAGCGCCCCGCCGCTGTTGGTAAACTCGCCCCTCGTGTCCCTGTAGTTGTCGCTGTATCTACAGACCTGCACAGCCTGCTCTTCAGCCTCTGCCTGGTCCGAGAAGCGCTGGTGGGAATAAGAGAGGCCTGTTCTTGGCAGGTTTGCCGGGGACACTGCCCCCCCCCCCGCCTCCCCCACCCTATGGTGTAATCAGCAAGGTGGCCGGAGGGCGCACCCAGAGGAGGAGGCCATTGGCCGCCCGCACACTCCTCCCCCACGTGGCTGACCGGCTCCCGCGCACTTCAGTTTACAAGGGCCTGAGGTTCCTGCAGGTGGAGGAGCCGGGAGGGACGGGCCCTGCCCCACAGACCATCACCGGCTCCAGCCGGGCCCTCCCCGGGCTCACTCGGTCCCGGGACGTCGATGGCAGAATCAGGACTAAGCCAGCCAGGCCATCTGCACCCCCAGCAGCGCCCCTTCCCTGAGCGTGTGCAGGTCCGCGTGGTTGGGGGTGTCTGTGTTTGGAGGGACGGGAGATGTGGTCTGGCTGAGTCTGGGGCGCAGCTGTGGGACGGGCCCAGTGTGAAGTGTGTCTGTCCTGCATGGGATGTTGCAGACGCACCTCCAGGCACATCCTGTGCAGAGAATCGGCGTGGAGGGTCCGGAGGACGTGGCCTGGGTCTGTGGGCAGGTGGGTGGCTCCTGGGGACGAGTGTGCAGCTGCGTTTAGTGGCAGCCCTCGTAGCTCGTTCCCTGTGGGTGGGGTGGAGGAATCCACGCCTCTGTCCCCAGCCATCAGCCAGCCCAGGTTTGCCCCTGCTGTGGGCACCGCCCTGCCCCTGGCCCCAACGGCGGCTGACCGTGGCCTCGAACTTCATCTCACCCGTATGCCAGGCCATTCCTTTTGTTTTTAAATTACTATTTTATTACCGAATTTATTGGGGTGACATTTGTTAATCAAATTATATAGGTTTCAGGTGTATGATTCTATAACACACCATCTGTATATTGTTATGTGTCCACCACCCCAAGTCTCTCTCCATCACCATCTCTACCCCCATAGCCTCTTCTCCTCCCACCCCCCTTCCACGCCAGGTCATTCCTAAGACTCCGTGCACTGTCCCTTCCTCCAGGAGCTGTCCCCGTCCTCCCTCGATACCCCTACACTCCCCCAGCTGCCCATGCGCTGCTCCACAGGGCCAGGCGCGCAGAACCAGCTGCTCAGCGGTGAGTTGAGTGAACGGACGAGTGAGTCAGTGTGTGGCCCACCCACTGTCCCTGCCTGAAATGCACCCACATGGGCCTGGCACACACGTCCCAGCTTGGCTCCCTGACCCTGGACAAGGCCCTCCCTGTCCCACTAGCCAGACAGGACTCCGGGAGCCAGGGGCACTGACCTGGGCCTTGCATTGGGGAGGCCCCTGCTCCTGTGGATGTGGGGTCAGAGCCAGGGCTAGGACCCGGCACCCTGTGGGGCAGTCCCAGTGTGGGAAGTGCTCGGATGGAGACGTGCAGAGTTGGGAAGCAGGCGACACTGCTCGTGGGGGTGGACCTGGACCCTGGCTTCAGGGCCAGCTCCATGGGTGGGGGGTGGGGAGGATGGGTGAAGGCAGCACCCTTCCCTTCCCACAGCACCCACCTGAGCACGCCAGGGCGGGGCGGCTGTGAGCAGAGCCCAGGGCTGCGGGCCCTGTGGGCACTTCAGGAGGTGACTGGGGGCATCGCCCACTCCTGACAGGCAGGGGCCGCAGGCACAGGCTGCAGGGCCCTAGGAGCTGTTCATAGGCCAGGCAGGTGCCCAGGGCTGGGCTGGGGTCTTCCCCTGTCGGGCTCAGGAGGAGTTTCAGGGGAGCAGCCTGGTTTGGGGACAAGGCTGTGGGAGCCCCTTCTCAAGCCCTGGATCTCCCTCTGAGCCAGGCCACAGCCCTGTCCCCATCGGCTCCGCCAGCGTTTGCTGAGGGACTGGGTGACCTGGGAACTGGGTCAGGGCCCCACCTGCAGAGGAGCTCGGGCGCTGGGTGCTGCTGCCCCCTGGTGGCTGTGGCCGGGAGGGCCTCCCGGGCTAGGATGTCTGCATCCCTAAGGCCTCCCAGAGCCTGGTGTTTTGGGAATGACCCAGCCTCCGAAATGTGAGGCTGGGCGCCTGGTACCCTGGACTCAGAGGCCTGGGCAATAGGCGCCCGAATAAATTGAATTTCAGAGAAACAACAAATGACCTTCCAGCGTGCACGTGTCTCATGATATTTCACGTGCTGACTTGCTGGGTCTGGCAGCCCCACATGTCAGCCTTGGGGCTGAGCCTGCACAGCCTGGGGCCGGTCAGACACTGGAGGGGCAGCTCCCAGGCACCCCCAGGGCAAGGGCACATGAGGGTCATGCCAATGGCTGACCTCAGTCCAGCTCAGGCCCCCTGAGCTCGGCCGGCTCAGAGGCCCTGAGACCCCTGCTCAGCCCTCACACCGAGACCACAGCCCGAGGAAGGTCACCTGGACTCAGGCTCCACTTCGGTGACCCCTGTGGCCAGAGGCACAGACTGTCCCCTCACGACCTGACCCTCCTCATCTGGAGTCAGGATGGGAAAAATCCTTCCATCGCCCAGGACAGCAGCAAGGATTCCCAGGTGCTCACTCCGCCCGGAGCCCAGAGCGTCCCTGACCTCCCGCTAATGACCCACCAGGTGCACACGCACCAGCCTCCAGCTCAGGGGGTTGGGGCCGTGAGGGGCCTGGTCACTGCCAGGCTGGACTCAGCGGGGTCAGTGCAGCCCGAGCCCATGCATGACCACAGCTCACGGTGCCAACCCCGCAGGGCTGGGAGCCACAGGTGCCCTGGCCACCCACTGCCGCCGCCCTGGGCTGGGATGAGGCTGGGGTACGGCAAGGACTGGAGCCCCGTCCCCTGGGGGGGGGGAGGACGAAGAAAGGGGCTCATTCCAGCCTCGGTTTTTCTTCTTCAGCAAATGGCCAGGGCAGCGGGGACCTATTTCCTTCCAGGCCCTCCTGATTGGCTGCCTCGCTTGACTCGAATCACTTGGCCTCTTTGGCCCAGCTGCGAAACAAGAGGCTGAGGGGCCAGCCGGCATGGCTCAGTGGTGAGCGTCGACCTATGACCCAGGAGGTCAGGGTTCGATTCCCCATCAGAGCACAGGCCTGGGGTTGCGGGCTTGACTCCCCAGTGAGGGGTGTGCAGGAGGCAGCCGATCAATGATTCTCTTTCATCATTGGTGTTTCTATCTCTCCCTCTCCCTTCCTCTCTGAAATCAATAAAAATGTATATATTTAAGCGATGGATTTAAGCCCTAGACAGTTTTGCTTAGTGGATAGAGCATTGGACTTCGGACCAAAGGGTCCCGGGTTCGATTCCAGTCAGGGGCATGTATCTTGGTTGCAGGCTCCTCCCTGGCCCGGGCCCTGGTTGGGGCTCATGCAGGAGGCAACCAATGGATGTTTCTCCCATTGATATTTCTCTCTTTCCCTCTCTCTTCTACTCTCCCTAAAAAAACCAATGGAAAAATATCCTTGGGTGAGGATTAAAAAAAGTGATGGGTTTAGGGCAGTGGTCGGCAAACTCATCAGTCAACAGAGCCAAATATCAACAGTACGACGATTGAAATTTGAGAGCCAAATTTTTTAAACTTAAACTATATAGGTAGGTACATTGTTATTAACTTAATTAGGGTATTCCTAAGGCTTAGGAAGAGCCACACTCAAGGGGCCAAAGAGCCGCATGTGGCTCGCGAGCCGCAGTTTGCCGACCACGGGTTTAGGGGAATAGGGCTGAGGGGTTAGGGCATCGACCCACAGCAGGGTCTTGGCGCTGAAGCCAGC